AAGAAGAACACACAGATTTAGATTGGAGTGATACTGCACACCAGACCTGTGACATCTGGAAGATGTATTGATTTACATTACTGCTGGAAAAGCAATGTAAAAGAATGAGAAAAGCCCCTATATGTTAGTTCAGTTCTATTGAATCTAACAAGTGTAAAGAAATAGTTTTGGGATTTATTTGATACCACTAACATGACTGATGTCACTCAGCTACAATCAAATAAATGTATCAATGGATGAGGCTTCTAACTTCTCCCAGGTAAGGGTCAGACTCTGCTGAACTTTTTCCAGTCAGGCATGCAAACTGTGAAATAACTTTACAACATGGTCCATCAGGTATGATTTCTTAGCATAATATTTCAGTGGGAAATAGTATGCATCGTAAATTTTAACTACGTGGGGTTTTCTACTTATATTATATGAATTATGAAAAAGCAGAAAAGTATCAATATTCATCTCTTTTTAAACATTTCCAACTACTTACAGTATCTTTGACTTTGTGCTTTGGAGCAGAGGATTATAATGGGAGATCTCTCACAATCCTGTATTTTTTTCTTCCTATTTACTTTGCTTTTGAAGATGGACGACAAAATTAAACAAAATACAACTTTTTAAAAAGCATTAGTCCAAAAGATGAATTTGAAGGGCTCTATAAATGATATGTCTTCTGAAAAGATGTCAATAAGAAAGAATGGGAAGAAGAAAAAAAGTGTTTTCAAAAAGTAAAGGTGATAACAACGCCTACACTAAATGCAAGTCTCCCAGTTAAGGATAATTTCACAAAGCCCTTTCTTTTAATTGGACAGAACTAGACTACAATTCAAAGAAAGAATTTAGGAAGCATTTGTTCCTCAGCATTTATTTTCCATTTATTTTAGGAAAGAACGGTATCACAATGGCATCCTTCAAATCTCTCAGAAACAACTGTGCTCAAAGTTGATTTGCAATAGAAATCTAAATATAATATACTAAATATAAATTGTCACTTTTCTTTGCAACTAAGTAGTTTAATCAAGGAGCAATTAGGTATAAAAAAATCATAATATGCATTTTTAAATTTAGAATGTAATATTTTACAGTTGTTGGAATATGAGATTGAATTGTTTAAACTACAGCATAATAATTCATTCCTACAGCATTCAGTGGCACTAGGCCTTTGGCCTCTTGCCTAACAATACACTAGACAAGAATTATTACATTGTAATTCACACCCTGTCATGCCTTATTGCTTAATTAAAGCATAACCCTTCATGACATGACAAGCAATTTGACTGTTACCATAATAGATTATTATCCCACATAACTTATTTTAGTTTTACAAACCATTCTTTTTTTTTTCCTTTGTACATGCATTGAGAATTATCAGAACAATTAAACAGATGTGTCTTTACCTGTAAAGTGTGACTAGGTTTAGGAAGAAAAGCTAATAACATAAGGTTGTATTTTTTATTGGAACCATTACTTGAGTAAACTTGGACACCTCTTTATCTTTTTTCATTTTGCTTTGGGAATTAAATCCAGCAATACTTTGTAAAACTCAGATTCAAGTTCTCAGATTAGGTTGCTGCCTATATTTTATTGTTGAGTTTAGCTACCTAAATTATAAAGTTAAATTATTTTGGTGAATTCTAATGTGGTGCTGAAGCAACAATGTGGCTGAAGTTACGGTGTCTTTCAAACTCCAAACAAGGAAGTTGCCAGTTTAATTTTGTTGCAATACAGCAGTTAGCTACTCTGTGTGGAACATTATGTAATATGTAAAACATATTTTTCAGAAATAAATCTTTGAATCACTTTCTTACTAAGGTCCCTCCCTCTTGATGTTTCTCAGACTGAAACTTGGTATAATAGAGAAAAGCTAATCAATCTGCTGTTATTAAAACACATCTGATTATAACTAAAAATTGACTAGGTGAAATTCTTCTTTTGCAAAAAGTCAATTGCAAAGCCCATTGACTTAAGCAAAACACTGTTCCATGAGATGAAATGGAAAAATGTGTCAACAGCTGTGAAAACATTAATATTCCAGTTTGCATTCAAAATATTTTAATTAATAATTCATATTTTATTAATGCCTTCACATGTGCAATGCAACACAGCCATTTGGCTATGAATAATCCTTTGGTTTTGGCAACCACAAGTTCAAAATTAAAATATGTAAACATGGAACTCTGATTATTTGTGTGAACAAAACCCTGAATTTCTTGAGAAGACATACAGGCAATGCATAAAACATGCATACAAAACAATTTTAGCATGGGAATTATATATACACCATACCTAATAGATGTCCTACCAGTTTCATATAATATCAAGGTGCAATTTAATGAGGTTCGACTGAACTCCCTATGTCTTCAAGGTGACTGGGTTGTCCCTGGAACGCTCTCTGCTATAACTATAACATGTCTATGATGTGACTGTGATATAACTGAAACAGCTGCAGTCTTTGATCATATGCTGGCAGTTTATGTATAGATGCAGAATGTGTAATAGGGCCACACTTTATTAACTTGACTGATGTTCTGTTATTTTACTGGTTCCAAAAGCCAAAGGAGACTAGGCTCCACCATGTTGCCCTGAGAATAAATTATTGTTGCAGCTATTCAAAATGAAATACCTATCATTAATGTCTAATTGATTACCAAAAGCAAGAGGCACACATTGGCCTCAGTTGATCTGACATTTGCTATGATCTTTAAAGCTGCTGTTACATCTAGAACTATTATTTTGAATTAACACAAAATACATTTTAACTACAGTTTAAAACCACTGCCAGCACTCTGAATGTATGCATACATTTCCTGTTAATAGCTATTTCTACATAGACACAGTCTAGTGAAACTTACAGTGAGTTTTTATCATTTCTTAACTATAAAAACACACAAATTCTGAAGGTGTGATAATGAAGTTAGACCTTGACATGTTAGTAGCTGTATTATGTTGTACAAAAACATCTTTGTTCTCCTTAGCAAGCTAAAACATCTTTTGTTTCTACCAAAATGTTTAAACAATTCATCTTTATCAAAGTAGTCAAATTAGAGAGGAGATAGTACGCACTTTAATTTGGCTATTTGAGGAAGGTAAATTGTATGTCCAGCAATTAAAAGAAAAATTTACTTAAAACCTAGGTATTTTTCCTCATGCATGCAATATGGAAATTCACAGTAACATTATAAATTATAGGCATATTTAAAAACTTGCAATGGGTTAGTTTGTTAATCTCATCTTTTTGTGAAATAGTTCTGTCCATTCTCATAGAAGATCTAGTAATAGTTTTGCACTAATCCTAATAGTCTGAAGTTATTCTAGATATGAAGAACATATAAAATAGACACTTCTAATGATTTATTTTTTAGTTCCTACTTTTTTTCTCCTAGCCTCCTTTCGCATACCTGTATTCTTAACTCTAAATTTTAGATTTTACTTTGTCCTTATATTTTTATTAGAAGAAATAAAAAAAGCCTGAACTCTCAAGTCATTCTGCACCCATACTCTCAGTTTGCCTCCTTCTGTAATCTTGCACAGAAAATGCACATTTTCAGAACCTTTTTGGGCACAAAGGGGATGTTGCAAAATTATTGTACTGCTTTGATGGGATGGCTTTTTCTCTAGGACCTCCCTTATGTAATCCTTGCTTTAGTTTTCTTTTCAATCCCTTCCTCTAAAGCCTTTATGCTGCAGCTGAGGGGTAACATATCTCAAAAGTTAAAGAGAGCCTGGACCCCACAATACACATGCTTACATTTTTTCCCATGGATCCCTTAATCTAGATAAAAACAGCTAAATCTGTTTTAATTCCAGTTTTAAGCATATGTCAGTAAGCATTTATACTTTAATCTTCTTCAGTATGGACATTCCCCAACAAAGTCTAATTCCTCTAGCCCTCATGCTTAACCCACCAGATTAAAATGCTAGCTCCTTTTTAGAATCCTAAAAGATCCTGAAATATGTCCAATTATTTTTTTCCCACATTTTGAATGCTTCCCATTTATAGAAACAAGCAAAGCCAACCAAGTAAATCTAAAATATAAACATTGAAATGGAACAGATTTCTTTCATGAAAATCTGATGACTATTTTATGAGTTTCATTTTCATTTACATTTGTTATAAGCCACCAGAAATTAAAGCTGTAAATAAGGAATAAATAAGCTAAAGTATTCTAAGTTATCCAGTCAAAAAAAAAAAAAAACCAACCAAATATTGCCTGAAAAGTTTTTTGAGAGTGAATATCTTCTTATTGTACCCTGGATAACTTTTAAAAACATAGATAAATCTTTAACTAGGCATATGTTTGGCCTCCTTTCCATTTTTTCCCCCTTGGCTGCTTCTTGTACTTCCTATATACCATTTGCAATGCAATTGTTCTGCCAAGTATCTCTGATACCTTCCAGCACTCTTTATTCCTTTTCATCTAACATGTTCTTCTCAGTACCCTTTTGTGGGCTTCAGCTCACATGAGTATACTGGACTTTATTCAATTAATTCCTCTTAACTGACCCCAGAAAAATATACAGTTAAATTAATCACAAAGAGAAGTTTATTATTGAAGTACTAAATTGAATTGAATAGAAAGAAATAATCGCTTTAGAAATACTATAAAATCTCTGATACCAACTCTGGGTCAAAATTAAGAGAACATTTCCAGATAAGCTGCTACTCACCTCACCCATTGAAATACCTTACTTTAATACCACACAACCTCTGTTCAGAAAGCATATATTGCTATGCAATGCTATTTGTGATGCAAAGCATTCCCCACTGACTTATAAGGTATCCTTGTTTTTTTAATATTGAGTAGTGTACCATTATTCAACTGCATATGTATTAACAAAAGCACTATAAATTTCATAGTAAAATAAATCTTACATCTAAAATCTGAAGAGTTGACACCTATAGTTAAATTTTTTCCATAGTTCTGCAAGATTTCCCCCCCTCCCCACCCTCAGGAGAATATGGATGGCTAAAAAATAACTGTTCTTATGTTCATCTCTTCTCCTACCTTTTCTGATGAGCTGGCTGCAGAAAAGTGTATAAATGGAAAGCTCAATTAGTGCAATTTTTGTATCCTTGGATGTCAATCATGACTGTCGAGAGGTGGGACTTTCAGGATCTCTGTGCATTAATTAGGAACTCATCTCAGAAGAGTAGTCATTACACCTAAGGACCAAAAATAAGTTTTAATTAGAGTCTAGAAGACAGTGTGCCATCTACTTATAAAATTAGTTCTTTAGTTAAAAATGAACATGAGCTATGGGACTTGGTTAGTAACAATGCAAAGGGCATAAATCTGCTGCATGCCCTTCAGAAAGCAGAAATATTCTTGCCTTTGTAGGCCTGCCTGGAAAAACTGGAGAAGTTCTGTAATACTGTGCACACCACTCAGATTTCAGTCAGGTTGTATGAACGCCAACGTGATTATTAGACCCTTGTGAAATTACTGCTGCTTGGCTGATGTTGAGTGAAGGCTGTAACACGGCTGACGCTGGATTGTATTCCCCTCTCCTAGCCCAGACCATCTCTGACTGCCCGTGCAAGAGGCAAAGCAAGGCAAACTCAGCAGAGGGGGAACAGGGGGTGTGTGCACAGCGCACCAGGGCCATTCACCACTGACACAGCGCACAGGCAGCTCTGGCTGGCCCGGGACATGGCAAGGCTCAAGATAGCCGACAAACAAGCTGGGCTAACTGGTGTCAGCTGCCCAAGAGATCTTGCCTCCTGGCATGACTTATCTGAGGACAATCAAATATTCTGCCTAAGATTCTCTAGGGAAATAAGGTGTAAATAATTGATTATATAATTTATAAATTAGGGGTAGGAAAACAAATTTTAAGAGCTGGTCAAGAAAATAAATATGGCAGCTTATAATTCAGGCATGAAAAGGGGTAAAACTTTGAGAAAAAATAAGTTTACATTCCAGAGAACAAGAAAAAAAACCTTGTTTGGCTATGGCAAAAATAAGAAATATAATGTATCAATAAAAATATCAAAACAGCACTCAGACTTGTCTAGGAAGGATGAGACAAGACAAAAAGAATCAAGCTCCAGTATGAAAATAAAGAAGGCAAAACAGTCATAAAATGGTTGTAAAAATTCAGAGCTACAAATATTGTAGTTTCTTGAAGGACACAATTTAACATATACTTAAAATGATAGAAGTAATAAGAATAATAATTATAAAGGTTATCAATAGAAAAAGAGTGGAATGGGAAAGCATGCCAAAAGAAATCCAGAAATAGTAGAACAAGTGTTATGACCTTCTTCATTGCTGTTATGCTTCATGGTCTTTTACTAGACTATGTGTAAATACATTTAGGAGACACATACTTTTCTGAAACATTTGTTTGAGAAACATATACTATAAATTTCCAATCTAATCAGCATACCTGAGGAGTAATGAAAAACAGCACTGAATTTAACAGCAAAAAAAGCAGTAGCTATTGCTGCTAGGTAGCTAAATTATTTTATCCTGAATAACAGTGAATGATAAAATTAACATTATAGTAAGGGTGCAATCAGTCTTTTAAAGACATTTAGAAAAATGTGGACAATTTAGGCTGATGTCATTCCAAAAAAATATGCTAATTCCATTAATAAATATTTTTAATATTTTGCTCCCAAATGAAATTTCATAATATTTTTAAAGCAATATTTCTGGCAAAATTTTTCAGCTAAAAATTGTTTTCTAGAGAACAGGCAAAGAAACACTCTCCATAATGTATTGACAAATATTACTGTATTTGTATATCTGTATTTTCTGGTAGATTTCAGTGGGCTTCTTCAGGTTATCAGATATGCTGGCAGTACACACCAATACACTCTTGAGAGTGTTAAATCTGAAACTTGCTACTTAAAAGTTCAACTTTGTTTCTGTGAAACAGGGTATATGCTACTGCTATGGATATATAAGTACTACAAAATCTGGTATTTACTTCTCTGTAGGTCTGTTATTTTTCACATGATAACAGATTTCAGGAAAGGCCCTATTTAATATTGACTGGCACCATGGGGAGGTTATTTTAAATGAAAAGAAAAAGGAATTTATCCAGGGCTTGTCACTTGTATGCTCTGAAGTAAAGAAAAGTCCCGAGTCTTGCTATCTGGAGTTTCTGATTAGTAACATGCAACACATTTCTTGTCAGCTGCTTCTCTTGATTAAGAAGACAGAAGAGATAATAGATACACTAGACTCCAGAAGAGACAGAGAACCTTTGTTCCTCTGTACAATTATATCAATTTTTATAATGGTTTAATTTGTTGTTATTCATAAGGGACAATGCCAAGAGCTGGAGCAAAGGACTAGCAAAGTACAGACTGCATGTAAGCAGCATGGTGCCTTCTCAGTCCTTCATGTTTCCAAGTTTGCCTCTTCTAAACTCCTACTCCAATACGCTATTTTGGAAGCCAGCCATAAAAGAGGCTAACTCAGACAATAAAATCTGAGTGATCTACTGAACTGTGACTGAGATTTGTGACCTGCCTTAAACTGAATCAGATTCAACTACAAGACTTCTTACAAGCAGCTCTCACCAAGAGCCTGGCAGAATGTCAACACAGTTGTACTAAATATTCGACACAAAACTTGCTGAGAACCACATGGTATCATGTATTGTCATGAAAGTAACTTAAAGCTGGATTTATTCACAGGAAATGAATAACAAAAAGTAGCAATTAGAAAATGTTTCTTACAGTGGAGAATGTCATATAGCAATTAAATTATATTGAACAGAATATCAAAAAGAGGAATAATACTAAAATTACTTCAAGCACCCTCCTGGCCAACTTTGAACCTTTCACTGAAGTTTGAAAGTTTGATGCCTTGTCCAAAATTTCCCCTGTGGTCAACAAAGAAAGGGAAAGGCACTTCCCGATATCAAGCCAGACTTAAAAGAGCTTCGACCTTTACACTTGTAGTGGGAGCATTGAGCACAGACTTGGACATGTTGGTAAGTACTTGTATTTACTTAATCTACATCCTACAGTTTGATTTTCAGCAGTGTCTAGAAAAGAAATTTCAGGGCAGCATTGAACATTTACCTACATATTTAGATGCTACCAGAGATATGGGCAGGGATTTCACAATTTCTGTAACACCAGGCAAATGCTGATGGGTAGTACTGTGCAGAGGTCCTTATTCCTATTGATCAGTGCCTTTCCTGCTCCTTACCACAAAATTAATAACAAAAGAGTAATAATTTTTCCTATTTATACTGAATTGTAGTTATTTTCTCATATTGTTAATACTTCAGTCTTTGGGGAAAAACAATTTTATCCCGCTTTAACAGTTTTATTTTTCTTCCCTCAAAAAGAGACCAGAACAATGAAAATATTTTGATTAATTTATCACCATAGATGTGTTCTTTCCTCCAGTTAAACTAACATTTTAAGAAAATTTCTGAGACTCCTATAAAAAATAAACCTCAATGTGTGATCAAAGGCAAGAAGCCTACAGCACACACACTTAGCTTTCAATCTAGAAACAGACTGTGGGGTTGGAACTGGAGGACCACAGTTTATTCTTTGCTAACTGATGAAACATTTAACTGCTTAGTCTTGAAAAATAATAAGAATCTGAAATTCAAGCTGAATATCAATGTGTTCACGCAAGGGGTGGAGATAAGCCAATAAATATAATATATAGCTTTTAACTCCATGGAATATGTCTTATCTTCAGTAGTTTCTGGCTGAAACTGTAGCGACAACAGAAATATATTTACGTAAGAACTATACAGAAGTGTGCAATAAGGCACTGGAAAATATAGAAGTAAAAAGAAAAATGAATTAAAATTTGACTGAAAAGAAGTAGCAAAACTTATTAGAAGTAGCAAAACAAGCAGAGAGAGATTTTGCCATGGCCAGCACTGTCAACAGATCCAGGCCTCTTCCTGAAATCCATCCATTTATCATACAGCATTGGAGTCACTTTGAAAACTATTCCATTGTAGTCAGCAACACCCAAATTGCAAATGGAAGTTATAAATCAGACAGCAGTACCACAATGTTTTCTACTGTCAAGACAAAAACCACTGCTGACTAATGAATAAGAGAAGAGTTTGTTTTAAATTAAGATACACCTGTATGTGATAACTTGGGTTTCAGCATTTTGCTGCCTCATTATGGTACACAATTAACTTTTTTATTTGTTAACTTTTCCTTATCTCAATTTCTGTGTTAGTTCACAGGACCACAAAATTTTCCTTTTCTTCATTATTGATTGGGAAATTTTTGATTGCTTTTAATTGTATTCTTACATTTTTTAAAATTGGAGAAGTTCAGAACATCATGGTCTTCATTATAATACAAAAATGTTTATTAATTTTGGGGAACATGAGAGCAACATCTAAAAAATATCTTCTGTTCTTTAATTGAGCTAACTGATATCATTACAGCTTGTTGGTTAAAACTTTGTGGGAAAAAAAAATCATCACAGATAAAATATAACATAGGAATTCCAAGCTATAATAAGACAAGAATAGAAGAACAACTAATTACAAAATTTCTGGCTGTCTGATTTCAGCTTGAATAATGGGTTTCTTTAATTTGTTGGAATTCTATGATCAAAAAAGGTACCAAAATGTTAACAAAAATCTCACAAGAAGAAAGGGATTAAGGCAGCACTGGCAAAATGATGCAGGTGTGATACTGAGAATGAAACATGGTTGTGCAGAAACAATTAAGGTAAAAAAGGAAGAACCTGAGCTTGCCTAAATTTGAGAGAATAATATGTTTTAAGCAACATTATGCTTGTATTGAGTCATGCTGCCATGCTCACAGAGGGGTCTGGGTGGGAAGGGATATGAAAAACCACCTAGCTCGAACCAAGGGCAGGGACACCTTGTTGGCATCCCTTCCATTTGGAGACAGAAGTTAGGATCTGGATCTGCTCTTTTATGCTGTCTCTTTAATGGATACTGGGGTAGTTGAAGTGCCCCATGAGAACCAAGCCTCCTGAACACAGGACTACTCCTATCTGTCTGTAAAGGGCCTCATACATGTGGTCAGGTAGCCTGTAGCAGACCCTCACTATAAGGTCACCTGTCCCTGCACTCGCTTTATCCTGAGCTGGAAGCTTTTGGCTGACTCCTCATCCATCCCCAGGCAGAACTCCATGCATTCCAGCTGGTCATTGACACAGAAAGAAACACCACCACCTCCTGGCC